CTCGATATCAGGGGGGGCGGCGGCGGGGTCGGACTCGATGTCTCGATCTCAGGGGCGGCCGCTGGGCTCCTCGACATCGCAGCCTGTCAGCATCCACGGGGCTGCAGCCGCAGAGCCCGATGGGGTCGACCGCTCTCAGCGGCCTGGCATAATGAGGAGGAGGAGGAGGAGGAGGAGGAGGAGGAGGAGCTCCCCAGAGACCGTAAAGGACCCAAGGCGGCCCGAAACCCTCTCCAGGACGGTCCAGGACCCGACAGCGTGCCAAAGAACCCCATGTGCGCCAAAATTTCCGTTGGCGGAACTGCGCTGGATCGACGACTGTCGGCGGCCTGGCATCATGAGGCGGAGCTCCAGGGAGCACGTGGAGGGCCAAAGAGGGCCCGAAGCCCACTTCAAGACGGCCTAGAACCCCGCAGCCTGCCCCAGAACGCAAGGTGCGCCGAGATTTCATGGGTGCAAGTGCGCGGGCTCGACGGCTCTGGCCAGTCTGGCACCAGGGGGAGCTCTGGAGAGACCGTGGAGGGCCCACGACGGCATGAATCCCTCGACCGTGTGCGCGCTGCAAGGGGAATGCTGATCGTGCTGCTGCTGCTGCTGATCCATGCTGGTCGTGCTGCCTCGCCACCCGCCGATAACGAGATATCAAGATATCGAGATATCGAGTCCCCGCCCAGCCATGCCCACGATATCGAGATGTCGAGATATCAAGTCCCCGCCCGGCCCCGCCCCCCGAGATCGAGATATCAAAATATCGAGTCCCCGCCCGCTCTCCCCCCGATACCAAGAAATCAAAATATCGGAGAGAGCGTGATGCACCGCCGCTTTACTGTGGAAAATTGCCAACCTTTTCCTCCGGAACCCGGGGGTCTCCCCCCCCCCTTCCGAAAATCCCGCCCCCCCTGCTGGAACCCACACCCCCCTTCCCCCGGCAAAACCTCCCCCCTCCCACCCCCCCTCCCCCCCCCCCCTCCCCCGAAAACCGAGGGGGGGTCACTACCGGTTCGAACCCCCCCCCCCCCCCCTCCGGATCCGGAAAACCGGGGGGTGTCACTACCGGTTGGAACCCCCCCCCCCCCTCGAAACCGGAAGGGGCCTACCGGTTCGACCCCCCCCCCCCCCCACGCACCGCCAGCAAACGACTCCCGGTCCCTACCACCGCTCGCATCACATCCCCCACTGTTGTTCCCAGCACCACTGTCCTCACCACCACTGTCCCCACTGGTTCCACCACCGTCCCTATTGTCCCCACCAGTGCCCCCACCACTGTCGCACTGTCCCCACTGTTCCCACCACTGTTCCCACCACGGTTCCACTCTCCCCACTGTCTCCACGGACCCAACCACTGCCTATCTCCACTGTCCCCACTGTCCCACTGACTCCTCCGCTGTCCCATTGAGCTGTCCCACTGTTCCCACCACTGTCCCCACTGTCCCCACCACTGTCCCCACTGTACCTCTGTCCCATTGTCCCACCGCCGTCCTCGCCACCGCCTTCACCACTGTCCCCACCACCATTGTACCCTCCACTGTCCCACTGTTTCCACCTCATTCCCACTGTCCCCACACCACTGTCCCCACCACCACCGTCCCCACCACTGTCCACTGTCCCCCCTGTTCCCACCATTGTCCCCACCACTGTCCCCACCACTACCGTCCCCACCACTGTCCCACTGTCCCCTGTCCCCACCACTGTCCCGCTGTCCCCTCACCACTGTCCCCACCAACACCGTCCCCACCACTGTCCGCACCCCCACTCGGTTTTCGAGGGGGGGGGGGTTCGAACCGGTAGTGACCCCCCCCCCTTTTCATGATGAACTGGGGGGGTTTTCCGGTGGGGGGGGGGGGGAGGGGTTCGCCGGTCTTTTCAAATATATCGAGATACCGAGTCCCCGCCCACCCCTCCCCCCGATACCAAGAAATCGAGATATCGAGATACCGAGTCCTCGCCCGGCTCCGCCCCAGGTATCGAGACATCGAGATATCGAGTCCCCGCCAGGCTCCGCCTCCGATATCGAGACATCGAGACATCGAGCCCTGTCGACCCCCTATCGGGACGCCTCGCGAACACAATGCCGACGGCCTTCCCCAAGAGGGCCCCCAGGCTCTCCAAGAGGGCCCAAAGGCGACCAGAGAGGCCCCCGAGAGGGCCCGAGGGTCCCACGATGGCCCCAAGACGCCTCCCCCTCCTCCTCCTCCTCCTCCTCCTCCTCCTCCTCCTCCTCCTCCTCATCCTCCTCCTCCTCCTCCTCCTCCTCCTCCTCCTCCTCCTCCTCCTCCTCCTCCTCCTCCTCCTCCTGCTCCTCCTCCTCCTCCTCCTCCTCCTCCTCCGCCTCCCCGACACGATGACCTGCGAACAGCGACAGGCAACCACTCTACCAAGGCGGCCCAGACCGGGGCACCCTGATCTACGCCGCTCTCTTTGTTGATCGACGGCCTCCAAAATGTCTCCAAGAGGGCCCCAAAAATCATCGAAGGGGGCCCCAAAAGAGGCCCAAGAGAACACCAAGACACCCCAAGAGAGCCCCACGATAACCCAAGAGGCCTCCAAGATGGCCCCACGATGGCAAAATGAAGCCTCCAAGACGCTCGCAGAACGACGCACGCACGGCGAGGAACGACAGGCAACCACTCTGCAAAGGCGGCCCCGGGCACGCACGACGTATGACAGGCACCGCAGGCACCGACAAGCAACCACTCAACCATAACAAACACGAGGAGCCGCGAAACGCACGCAATGGTTGAGTGGTTGCCTGTCGTCGCTTCCTGGTCAGGACAACTCGCCTGGTGTCTGTTGTTGGATGGGCTGGTGGAGGACGCGAAGAGTCAAGAAATTGCTATGCGCGGGCATGGAATCTCGACGTCATCAGTACTCGCAGGAGGAAAAGGCCGGGAATAAGAAAGCTTTGGCCCCCCCCCCCGGGACCCGAATATGGTCGAGACAAACGCTTTCCTCAGAGGCGTTGACCACGGAAATTCAGTTCTACAAAAAGGTAATCGACCAAACTTTCGGCCAGCGCCATTTCGATTCAAGGCCCGCACGAGGGGGCAATTCAAGAGGCGCTGGCCGATGCACTTATGTCAGGGCTTCAGAGGGACTAAGACGAAGCCAGGGCGATGATCAATTCGGTTGTGGATAAGCTGATAATCTCTGAGATTCGGCAGCTCTGGAGGATGTCTCTGGCGCCGCGGCCTTCTCAAAGCGTTCCGGGACGTTCTGGAAAGGATGTGTCCTCATCCTGGCCCCACCCAAAGGGCATCAAAACAACAGCCTTAGATACAACAGGATCCACAAGACCAGGGACCAAAGGCGAGGAGGAGAACGGAAAAAGGGGGGTCCACTCAAGGGGGGGGAGGCGGGCGCTGGCCATCACTCGGACGTCCACTCCCTGTGTTTGTTTCAGTTTCGTGCGTGGCTTTTTCGCCAAATGATCAAGGATGCTCCTCGATGGCCCTCGCCGAAGGAAAAATGCACACGTCCGAGCGATGCGTGGACATCGGAAAGTGGAGAGAAGGGCTCCGGACGGGTCCTTGCTGCGTGTGGGGGAGGGGAGGACCAGAGTGTCGAATTGGATCGGTGCGGATCGGATCGGAATCGGGACATATGTTTTGCCTCGCTGCGGGCGCCAGGGCTCAAGGGCCCTAAACGGCAGCGGATGCAAGAATAGGGCGAGATAGGGGGACCAGGAGAGCCAAGGCAAGAAGAGAGGAAGATGAAGCACCATAATGGTGGAAGAAGGACGGATGGCACAGGGAGCCCAACACGCCCGAGATCCGCAGGATGGAACCGACGAGGGCCTCTCCTCTGAGGCGAAAGGAAAACCAATGCCAACGCCTGAGCCGACAGGGCAGCGCATGAGGAGATGAAGAAGGCGAGTCCAGATTTCACGATTCAAGGGGGGGTCTGATTTTGGGGGGTCTGATTGGAGCCGTCTTGGAGGGTTCCGGTGGGGCCTGGGCAGATGGCCGCACTCTCACGGCTGGCCTAGAGGGGTCTCGATCTGCTGGTCTGGGAGGGCTGTGACCCCTCCTCTCTATTCAAACATGTGGAGTACACACTTTTTTCGGTCGGCGGGTCGAGAGCGGGCCTCTTCCGGTTAAGAGCTAGGCGGGGCGCGCGAAGCATTAATTGGGGAGACAGGGCGCGGGCGGGCGGGGCCTCAGGCGGCCTGAGGGCGCGGGATGCAGGCGGTGCCGAAGAGCTTGCACAGGAAAAGGTACGCCTTGGACAGGAGCCGGAGGCGAAGTCCCGGAGGGAGAGCGAAGTGGTATTGCCGTCGACGGCGCGTCGAGATCACCATCCTACATGTGGAGGACACACAGACACACGCCATCCTGTGAGACGTTGGCCGCCAGAGGGTCCCAAGGTCCGCGTCTGGGCCCGGGGCGCACGAGGCTGTGCGGGAAGGCCAGGCGCGCGTCGGAGGCCAGGCACGGGAAGGCGCGCAGCAGCGCGTCGCAGTGCTCCGAGTCCGAGGGCAGGTTTACCTGCGGTCCGACACCCTGGCTCTCCTCCTCCTCCTCCTCCTCCTCCTCCTCCTCCTCCTCATCATCATCATCATCATCAGCATCATCATGATCGTTATCATCATCATAATCAGCAGCATCATCATCATGATCGTTATCATCATCATCATCATCATCATCATCATCATCATCATCACCAGCATCATCCTCATCATCATCAGCATCATCATCAGCAGCAGCATCAGCATCGTCATCGTGATCGTCATCGTCATCATCATCATCATCATCATCATCATCAGCATCATCATCGTCATCGTCAACATCACCACCACCAGCGGCAGCATCAGCATCAGCATCAGCATCAGACTCATCATCAGCATCAGCATCATATCAGCATCAGCATCGGCCTCAGCATCATAATCACTATCAGCATCAGCATCATTATTAGCATCATTACCAGCATTAGACTCAACATCATCACCAGCATCATATCATGCTCATCCTCATCCTCCTCATCATTATCGTCAGCAGCAGCAG